AGACACTTTTCGGCCCAACGTTCCTAACATTGGACGTAGACTAAATTCCTTTAGCTAAGGTCTTTTTCGTATAAGTACTTTTAGACCTAACGTACCTAACTTCAGACGTTCTTAAAATTATTTAGTTTAAGAAATACCTTTGTGGAAATTTAATATAGTTATTCGTCATATTTTCTAGTCTTTACTTCATCTCCACTGCGGCCACCCTATATAATTAGTACCAAAACAAATGTACTATAAATAGCTTCCATTACCTGTACCGGTGAAATTACAGGCACATGGGACTTGTCACCTTAAGTCTCAGAGACAGAAAGATCTGACTTTGTGATTTAAGCTCTATGCTCTGTAACCGTTATAGACAAGATTTGCTTAGTAAAAAAAAATACCGCGGTCTCCTAAAAAGTAATTATAAAGCATAAGACATCGCCAAAATAACATGTGCGCCCCACAAGGTCGCTGCTGTACACTGTTCAGCAGTTTGATTTTAATTGCCTCTCTCCGATCGGAAACTGCGTCTCTTCCGAGTCGAGGCGCATAATCGCGATTCACAACTGGCCGATGGGAAACTTTTGACATTTCAAATGGGACCAATAGTTGATTTAACTCACAAATTAGAAAGATATAGCAGGAATCAGGTTCATCTACTCGCTGGGAAACCCATCTGATTTCGAGACCACTCGATCGGTTCTATTACGTGTCTAATCAAAATCAGCATGCAGGAGTTCCTCTTAATTGTCGGCCATTTCCATTATCAGATCATCTCAAAATTCCAGAACTCTACTCAATGCTCAAGTCAGGATTTGAGCAGACTTGAGTACGATTGCAAGCACTGGAAATACGACCCTAATGGCAAAGTCTTGAGTATGATTTTCAGTGCTCACTGCAGTACTCAAGTCCAGACTTGAGTATTGAGTAGACTTCTGGAATACGACCCTAAGTATTCATAACATTTTATTTCCATTGCAATTACATCTTTTTTATGTTTTATTGAAACTGGTTATCGGAATGTACCCTCATTGCAAAAACTAATAAACAGGATTCATCCTGTAATTTGCCACCTTAGGCAGGTTTGCCCACAACGTCCGATGGGTCTACTGTCGATCTCCGTCCGACATCCGTCCGAAACAATTACTGTCAAATAAGTAATATTCGACAAAATCAAAAGACTAGTATCAAGTATGAAGCTTCATTCGCATCACGCGTCTTTTCATTTGGTCAAGTATTGCTTATATGGCAGTAATTGTTTCGGACGGAAATGACGGTCCGAAATGTCACAGTGATCATATTATCTCCAGGTATAACAAGCTATATATATTTTCTCGGATTCGAATAGAACTTGGTGCATAAGCGACATCGAAAGTGGTTCCGAGTTTTCTAGATTTGTATAGTCTTGGACTCGAAAGGAATAAGAATTGCAGTGTGCAAAGGCTCTAACGGAATATTTTGTTCAAATTTGAAGGGACCACTACGAGGAAGCCGTTTCCAAAATAATCAATAATAAACAATAATCTTTATAATATCCTAAAGAATCTTTTAAGCCGGTCACAGAGGCGACAGTCTAAAATAGATACACAAAAAAATATTCGTATAAACATCGAATACCACTTCTCTAATTTCAAATTCAAAATTTATGTTTTAAGAAAAAGAGTAGACTCTAAAATAACTAATAATAATAGGCCATTGCCTAAAAGATAAATTTAAATTTAACTGCCTCTTTGACCTAACGGTGCCAGGTTCGATTCCCGGGCCGAGAGAAATATTTGTATGACCTACATTTATTTCTCTCGTGAGTTTGGGTGTAACTTGTGGTTGTCTATGTGTGTATCCATGGCACCAGTGTCACAGGGTTTCCCTGGTGCGGGGCTATGTTGAGTGTGTGCGTTATTATTAGAGCCAATTGAGAAAAGTTCTCTTCCCAATTTGATCCTACCGAAAATCGGAGACCAAGACCTCTTCATCTAACATAAAATAAAAACTGACGTACAGAGACGTTATAGCATTGGTCTGTGTTATAGTAATATATTAAACAACTTGTTATAGATTTATTGTCCGATTTATTATTTTGAAAAATAACGTCACGGTTTGAGTAAGACGCGTGAAACCTCTGGAATAAAAATTAATTAAAAAATTTGAAAAGACAAATATTAATAATTTCGAATTTATTAAAAGTGATCGCCGAAATACAAACTACCAACACCCCGTATCGAAATATATCGAAATATCCCACATTATAGAACAGTAAAAATATATAACTAATTACCTGTCACGTTAAAAACAATATAAAGAAACTCCACATTTTGTAATAAATTCACATTATTACTAAATCAGAAATGCTATTACTCAATTAAGGAATATTTTGAAGATACTCTTAAGTAATATTGCTTGCCTTATGTAAACCATTAACTTGCATTCAAATTGTATTATAAATTTTAATTCTTGCATTCAAATTGTATTTTTAATTTTAATTTTAGTTTATAAGACTTGTCACTTGCACTTTAACACCCTTACTGGGTGCATGTAACATTTTAAATGTAACGTGTCTACCAATGCAAATGAATAAATAAATAAATAATATCAGGTAAAGGATATTTACCTTATCCACCTAACTAACGTACTTACGCATTTAGGTACAACTTTCAAAACAGCACTTCCATCCCAAGTTTAACCACCATTCGAAATTCAAACGGGCGAGTTCATGGCACGTGCGCGAGCGCACCGCGCGTAACGGTCGCGAACAGCTGCTTACCGGCAGCTGCGGACAGGGATCACGCACCTTTGGTTCATTTATAAGGTGATGTAGCACGACTGAATATTGTACTGCTATATCGTCATCTTATAGTGAATATCTCGGTGATTTCTATGTAAGTTTTCAGGACGAAGATAAAAATTAGGTGTAAAATGTAGTAAACGCAGTAATGTTTGTAGTTAGCATTTTAATTCGTTAAATTATACTTATTGCAGATACTATATTACTTTAATAACATATTTGGGAAAGAAGTTTATAACTTTTTCTTCAACAAAAATCAGTAAAAACGAAATACGTGAAAACGCGAATGTAAGGTTTTCGCTCTAAGGCAACGATATATTTAGATATAAATAAAAAATAAAATAAAAATAAACATATTTTATTTCAGATAATTGCAATCCGTATTTCAAATTATATTATTATCATATTACTTATATGACATATATAAAATTATGTAATTAAAACTGAATTAAAAAGAAAAACATTAAAAATTGAATTGACTCAAATCTACAGATGGTTAGTAACAAAATTACGATCTAAGTGTTAGTAATGACATGCAAGTGACAAACGCGGCTTATGTACGGACAGACGAACCTGTCCGCTGTCGTGCGTAGGCCCCTGCTCACCAGTGCCGATACACGTTTGCGCATGATACTAACTGTACGTAGTATCTATTCATATTTTTCTATAATTGTATTAAATAAATATTAAGGTACATGTGATAGTTTCTTTTATACACAATATCTTGAATTTGAATAGTTTCAGAAAAAAATTGTTTAGTTTTTTTTGTACGGAGATATATTTATTTTGTTTTTAAACGATTTAAAAAGGAGGAGGTTCTTAATTCTCATAAATGTATTGTGACGTAAGAATGTTAATCTCTCAAGTACACTGAGCACTTTCATAAAGATGGGCCCTTTTGTAAGGTGTGGATTGAGCATCTGCAAGCAGCAAGACAGGTCGTTCTTTGGGAGACCTATTTTCAGCAGTGGACGTCTTTCATCTATGAGCATTTTAAAAGTATGTAATTCCCTAGTTTGAGACCAAGTAAGTAGTTTAGTTGACTGCTTCGCAAAAAAAATATTTGATATGAAACTAGAATTTAAAAAGGTTGACGATCCATGCCTGTGCAAGCGCAGGGGAGCCCGCATTCAATATTGACAGACATAATAATCGTGATGCGAAAAATCGATACCGACCTTGACTGAGCCTTTGTCCAGCAATTTACCAGAATTTTAATAATGCACTTAAAATCATCCTTTGATGCCTTAATTATAATAAACAACCACACTAATTACACGGACTCAAGCTAGAAAATCCTTGAAGCAACCAACGAAATTCACGTCTATCTACTCAGAATAAGAACCAATTTAAAACAGTTCATTTCCAAAATTGATCCTTGCGGGAATCTAACCTGGTACCTACCTCGACATCTAGAGCCCGCAATGTCAACCGCTACGCCACTGAGGGTTTTATATATTTATTTTAAGTATGTAATTTCTTTTACTTATTACAAAAAATATACATAATTTCAATAAGAAAGAAGACACCATAATATTAACCTTAGAGCTAAGCCCAAACTCACGGTACCACGATTTCGTTTAGCAAAGGTAACGACTCTTTTTTATGAAGTTTTTACAATAACTTTCCGTAGCTAAGTTTAAAAAGTACATTAAAAATATTTTGATTGAAAAGTCATATTACAAAATTGACGACTACGTTTTAGATAAAGATGTATGTATGGAAAGACGACACACAAATTTGATTCAAAGTGTATTCCATAGCATTTAAGTTTATTTGAAAACAGCAATCCCTGGAGTTTCTTGCTCGTTCTTCTCAGGGAAGAACCGCCCATTTCTGCAGGACAAAGATTCTATTAATATCGGCGGCATGCGGCATTACCCCAAAACAAAATGCCGTATGTCATACTCATAGATATAGAAACTATGGTCACACTATCTATAATAAAACCACATAAAACTATAAGACTATAACAATAAAAGTGTGACAACTAAATTATATCGGAGTTTTGACTTTATCTGAGATCCCTGCAGTGTTCACTTTAAACGTAGTTGCTGCATATGACCACCCTCAACATCTAAACCAAGCAATAAGCAATTGTCAAAGGTTCAAAACTGCCACACACGGAAAAGTGTAATTCCGAACCTGAAAAAATATCGGACTTCATATTACCCTTACTAATTGAGAGACTTCAAACTCCACTTAACATATGGTGTACAACGCTAAAATGTGCCAATCTCTCCTCAATCCCACAACATTTTGTTTAATCTACAACTGCCAACACGTAAAATGGTTTCAAAAGTGAAGAAATCAAAATCTGCAAGAGCTGGTCTTCATTTCCCCGTAGGCCGAGTTCATAGTTACCTACGGAAAGGAAACTTCGCACCAAGAATTGGTAGTGGGGCATCAGTTTACTTAGCTGCAGCTCTGGAATACTTGTCAGCGGAAATTCTGGATTTAGCAGCAAATGCCGCGACGGATAATAAGAAAAGCAGAGTGTATCCCAGACACATTTTATTCGCCATTAGACATGATGAAGAACTCAATAAAATGCTGACTGGTGTTACCATTTCTCAGGGTGGAGTTGTACCTAACATTCAGCCTCAATTGCTGCCGAAGAAAACTATGAAGAAAAAAGAAGAAGCTGATGTAGAATGAAGAAGCGGTGTAATTTTATTTTCTAAAACAATTTGGGCAAAATTATGGGTGATTTTTGACAATTTGAAGAATTAGTCATGTGATCAAAGTGATTATTTATTTTTAACGATGGCCAAAGAATGGCCAGAATGACAAAAGGTCCTTTTCAGGACTGCAAATTTTTATCAAGTTTCGTGTATAGTTTACGAATGGTTAAAAAAATATATTGAATTTAGTTTTTGAACAGAAATTATACAGTGTTGACTTATTTATCTTGTTTTTTTTATGTAATATAATAAAGGGCGCTGGGCTACATTTTTCATTCTACTTCTTATTATATATATTCATTCGACTGTACGACTTTTTGTGAATGTATGTTACGCGATAACTCCGACGGCATTTGTTAACCGATTTTGATGATTCTTTTGTTATTGAAAAGACGGTACCTCAGTGTCGGTCCCATTTAAATTTAAAGAAAATATTCCACTTCTAAGGGTGACAAACTAGGGGATGAATCCGGTTTTACGCACTTTCCTGTAACCGATTTCAATAAAACTTAGCAAATAGATACAATTCCACGAACTTTTGAGGTCGGTTTTATTTCTATAAAATAATTGTAATATCAAGTACTTTGTATGAAAATGTGGAAAAATTTAATTGACCTAGTTAGGGTTTAAGTAAACATATTTAATATAATTGACGAAAGTAGAAAGAAATGTTTAGCAACTTTATTCTACCGGGAATTGTAATTTGTATCCGGAATCTTAACTAACACCTTAGGCCGTCGAGGTAGTCAAAATTATTACACATTTATATACGTCATTTACAATAGCACTCATATGTACTGTTTCAAAGTTATGTGTGACTGAGCGAGTGATCTGCTACCTAATAAATCAGATAATGTTTCCACATTGTCCCAATGCAGTATACACAACACTGAATAACAATTTCGAGAAGGATACCATTGCACAGCAGTACGACATTTAACACATGAATATTACAAAACAATATATATATAGGGAAGAATAAGTCGTGCCCCTGCAGAGCATTAAATCGCAAACATCTGCTGGGCACTGCCACTGTGCCTGTCACCTTGAGACATAAGTTAACAAGCGCCGTGTGCCTGTAATTTCACCATCTCCTTTACCCATCAAAACCGGAACGCAGTAATGCTCACATCGCTTGGCAGTAGAAATAATACGGTGGCAGTACTTCCCTGGACGAACTATTAACAAAATTTATATTCAATCTACCCACATCATCGTGACTGCGACTAAATCCGCTACCGTCGAAGTCTATAAAAACTACGTTCACAATTAAAAACGAACCATTTGCTCTCCAAGTTTCAAAAGAAGAACATCTAAATAAAATGGCGCGTACAAAGCAAACGGCGCGAAAATCCACCGGCGGCAAGGCACCGCGAAAACAACTGGCAACTAAAGCAGCGAGAAAAAGCGCGCCAGCAACGGGAGGCGTCAAGAAACCCCATCGTTATCGCCCCGGGACTGTCGCTTTGAGGGAAATTAGGCGTTATCAAAAGAGCACAGAGCTGCTTATAAGAAAATTACCATTTCAAAGATTAGTGAGAGAAATTGCTCAAGATTTTAAAACCGATCTAAGGTTTCAAAGTTCAGCGGTAATGGCGCTTCAAGAGGCAAGCGAAGCGTACCTAGTAGGATTGTTTGAAGACACCAATTTATGTGCTATTCACGCAAAAAGGGTAACTATTATGCCCAAAGATATACAGCTGGCTAGAAGAGTCAGAGGCGAAAGAGCGTAGTTGTATAAATATAAAAATAAAGATATTTAATCTGAGGTTTATTGTTGATTTTTCGTTGACAAAGCCCTTTTCAGGGCTGAATTGGTTTCTTGAGTTTCTAGATTTATCGAGAATTAAAATGGTTACCATTTACATTGCACAAGTGATATTATACTATACAAAAACTATAGAGTATATAACCAGAAATTAAATGTCATTTTATTTGTTTAAAAACTATTCTGTCAAATCATTCCGGTGACAACTGCGCTCCGATTGGCCAGCCCGAATTCGAACAATTGGGGTGTTGTCAATTGTTTCACTTCAAAATGACCAGTTTAACTTGAGCTTTGCTATAATGGACGAAAATTGAAAAATTACATATTTAATTACCGATGAAATGTGATTCCGTGTGTGTAATTAGATGTTTTGCTGTTTTTCCCACATCACCGAATGGAACAGCTCTCCATATTTATATAGATATTATCTTTATTACAATAAATACACAACATTTTTGGAATATACATAGACGTACACACAGGTCAGTTGTTGACGCTGTACTATTTCAACTTTCAGTGGAAACGAGAGTTGATATTTAAGGTCCATTGCCTGAAGAGTTGCCAGGGATGGAAGGCCCTTATTTCGTCTCTATTTCTGGTTATATACTCGATGACAAAAACGTACGTAGACCAAAGCTATAAGTTTCCCATTAAAAACTAAACGTTGTGTCATTGCAGTGGTTAGAATTGAGGGATGGAATTTAGCGAAACTACTGACTTTACTAAAGTCTTTAGAAACATGTATGCATATCAAATATACTGTTAACACATGAACAATGTTTTTATTATTATTTTATTTACGGTTTAATATGATAGAAATGCATGAATAGAAAAATAAAATGACACATTTTTGGGTGAGAGGGTAGGGATAACAAGCATTTAAAGGAGAATGTTATGCATAACAAATAACTTTGATAGGTCTAGCCTAATAAAGATTTTTTTTTTTAAATTTAAGTATATTGAACGTGTTACTTATTTCAACCGCCAAGCAGTAATGTCAGCATTACTGTGTTCCGGTTTTGAAGGGTAAGGGTGCTGGTGAAATTATAGGCACATGGGTCTTGTGAACTTATTTTTTTAATTTATTTATTTATACATTTATTTCTGGCCACATGCCCCATATAATATATACCTTAAGGACTAACATACATACAATATACACTTCCGGACACATAATTCGAGCCACCAAGCGTTTTCAGAATTGAGGTGCCTAAGCTTAATAAATGTTTCATTGATCAAAAAGTATTATGCAATTTTGAAACTAGTATACTAAACGTCTTTTCTACAAGTTCTTGTTGGGAATTTGGATTTGCAAAACCGAGGAAAACTTTTTCTTCGATGATAATACTATTTTAGTATTCTAGCCCTTTGCGACAAAAATGCGAGGTGGCTCCAATTACGTGTCCGGGAGTATATGTACGTTGTAAGTTTATTTATACAGTACAGTCTGCCATCAGTAACGTATAATGTACTGCTGTTCTCCGCATATACTCGATGTCCGTCCCATACAATTACTGTCAAATAAGTAATACCCGACCAAATCAAAATGCTTCATTCGCATAATGCGTCTTTAAATTTGATCGAGGTACTACGTGATAACCGCATGATGTTAGAATGCCAGACATCATGAATGCTATAGTCCATTCTGCCTTACTAACAAATTTGCACCTTATGTTTTTTTACGTCAATTACGCTGATGTTGCTTAAAGAGTCTATACTACAAGATCTCGAATTGCATTTTTCCCGCACTAATACGGTTCATTTTGCTTTGTTCGAGCAGCAGGGACACTGGCTTTATTTCAGAAGTTTTTGCAAACGAAATTCAAGGCTTTTAAAAAACATATACGTGTCCTATTTAGTTCAGTTGATATAAAAAAATCATTGATACATATATTTAGAGTAATTATTGAATACAGCGGTTTTCTTGTAAAATTTCAAGGTATCTTCGTGTTTTTTTTTTCTATCGTGAAAATTTTTAGGAACCTCATTTCACACCGTACAGTAATCAGTCTATATCATCAATTTAAATATATTTTTTTTTCAAAAGTGATCGGTTCCACATTTTCACTGTTATATAATCAACCAATGCCATTCGAGGTTGTATATTCTCTTAACTATTGTTATTGATTGGAAGTTTTATTAAACTGAAACTAAATAAGAGTTGTAGTTGTCGTTACTCTGATACCAGATATTATGTATAACTTAATTTCGCTAAATATGTAGATTACGTTAGTTATAATATAAGGAGGACAGCTTAGAATAATAACGCATAGAATGATAGTTTCATATCAAACGAACTGTCACAAGTGAGGCAAAAATCAAATTCATGTAGGCTAGTTTTAGTAGTAGGTTAATTTTCGGTTTTAGTGATTATTTATATATAAAAATACAAGTTGAAACGCGTTACTTCCTTGTGGAATGTGATGTTAGTATCTATTTTATGTTTGTCTGACGTATTTTCACACTCATTTATCGCACATTTCGTCATTTTTATCTAAAATTCTTGATCTGTTCGCGTTGCAAGTTGACCTAGAGCACTGACGGCCCGCCCGCTCGTGTACGCCCTTTTGGCGCGCTTCAATTTGCCTCACTTAGCGTGTGCGGACTAGGTTTCTATGCGTCATTATTTTAAGGAGGACAGTATATAAATAAATTTAAAAAAAACTTCACATCGCACTTGACAACTAACATAGCATTACCTCAAAATTGCGTTATATTAATAATATATCTCCAAAATTTCGCTACAATGACGTGCTATTCATATACAATTTAATTTCAAGGGGACGGACCAACACTGTGGCTTTGAAACTAAATAGGTAATATTAGTACAACTTAAATCCATTTTGAGATAATACTATGTTAGTTGTCATGTGCGACATATAGACGAGTTAAAAACGATTTCTTCCAAAACGAAAACCATCAAAACAAAACTTAAGAACAATTTGCAGCCCTGAAAAGGGCGTTAATAAAGTCATCATTGATCAAAAAACGAATAGTATAAATTTTAATTTATAGAAATCAACCTACATTTTTTTTTTAATTTTCATCCGCCAAAGCCATACAACGTTCTTCCTTGTCTCTTTAACGCATAGACTACATCCATGGCCGTAACGGTTTTTCTTTTCGCATGTTCCGTGTAAGTTACAGCATCACGTATGACATTTTCTAAAAATACTTTCAAAACTCCTCTCGTTTCTTCGTAAATTAAACCAGAAATTCGTTTGACACCGCCTCTTCTTGCTAATCTTCTAATTGCAGGTTTCGTTATGCCCTGGATGTTATCTCTAAGGACTTTCCTATGGCGTTTGGCGCCTCCTTTGCCGAGTCCTTTTCCGCCTTTTCCGCGTCCTGTCATTTTTGACAGTTGTCTTTTTTTAAATTAGATGTTAAAAGGACGAAGATTGAGAGACGAATGCGCCTGTTTTAGAAAGTGAGGGTGTATTTATAGGTTTTCGGATTGAACCTAAACAAAATTGCGGGTACTTTGAAAAAAAAATACAAAAATATCAAAATGTACGAAAGTTATGGTCCAAGCAAGGGGCCTACCACGACCTCTTAAAACAATATTAGATACTTTAACCTTACATTGACTTTTCGTACCATGATCGCTTAGAGGAAGCTTATGTTAAAACTATGATGTTTCATTGGCAGCTTTGTGACTATTCATTCACTCAGTTCGTACCATGACGCGACTTTAACATTAAAGTAATATTGTTCTTATGTCAAATTTAGCAATCTTAACATAGTTACTCGGACGCAGCGGAAACAATATTGTTTTCGAATTTATTGTCTAAATATTGATTTGTAATGGTTAAAAGTTAAGTTGAACTTATTTATTTACATAAATCGATTCAATATTTTGTTTATTTTTTTTATTTAATAATACTTAGGAAATCATTTCTCGTTAAATAAAAAGACGCGATGTTTATTTCGTAAAATTATAACAGCGACATCTATACGCTTCTTGGCGATATTAACAGTGACACTAGCCTATAATTCCGAATTCACAACGTGGCTATCAAGACTCAGCTTATTTTATTTATTTTTCTTCATGAAATAGCGGAAAAATTTTAATAGATTTTATTATTACATACTTTTATTTTTTTAACTCAAATTCTTTGAATGTAAATAACATTAAATACTTAAACATTATAACTACGATAAGACAATTCAGAACATCAAAAAATAAAGAGATCGCATTGTATAGATTATAATGCCATCTCTTTCTTCTGTCGAGGTGCAACTGAACCCGGAGCTGGATGCGACTCAAATATAATTATTTTTGACTGGCAATCAGTCCCGGGATCACATATACTAGCATTTGGGCTGATTCGGGTTTCGTTGCTACTTTAAACAACCCCGGATTCAGATGCTACAAACCCCAAACTTCTGCAAGCCCATACCCAGCAGTGGGTGATATCAGACTGTGGATGGACAATATACTGTTTCGTGTGCATATCGAATTGTCACAATGTAAGCAGATATTATTTTATTACTTTTATGTGATATAATTGTAACTTTTTACAAAAAAAAGAACGACCTCAAATTTGTGACATTACGTCTATTTGCCAAGTTTTGTTGAAATCGGTTAACGGAAAGTGCGTGAAACCGAATCGATAACATACATACGAGTACTACAATAACAATTACATATAAATATAGGTGACAATACATTAGTAGGAGCACGAGGACATATTTATCCTTTTGGCCATAACAGTAGGAGCTTAAGGATATATTAGTCCTCGTGCTCCTACCAGTAGGAGCACCCAGTAGGAGCATGAGGAAACGGCCGATTTATCCCCTAGGTTGCAGACGGCAAACACCCTCAGAGACGGAATATTTTCTTCAAATTTAAATGGGACCAATACTGAGATGCCGCCATTCTAACAAAAGGAAGATAACCTATCACAAACTCGAACATTTTTTGTCCGAAATAACGTTTGGTCGAATTTCCAGTACACCGAAAACCGAATTATAAAAAAATATGTTGAATGTTTATCGCAAAGACACGATTAGGTTCGGTTAGTTTAGGTTAAGTTAGGTTTAAAAGATAAAAACATTTTTCCTCTCAAAATTACTTTCGAGGTTATGAAATTTCGACCAAACGTTATTTCTGGCAAATGTCATTTCGGACTACTGGTAGGTAACCAAAAAGGAATCATCAAAATCGGTTCACAAATGCCCGCAAAAATTTGTCGCTCTTAGAGGTGGAATCGTCCGTTCTCGGACTAGTGTTAACTATTTAATTGCCGTGGCAATTTTTATGTCTTGTCAACTTATGTCTCAGGGTGACGAGAGCAGTTGCAGTACCCCTCAGATCTTTGCGATTTAAAGTTCTGAGTGGGTCTGCAACTGTTATGAACAGGCGTGTAGCTTACTATCAGGCGCACGATGTTATAAAGAAAAAAACTATTTTTTCGGTCATTTTCTGTTATTTTTATAAACAGCCATTATTTATTTACTAATATTGCGCTGCCCGAATTTTATTAAAAAAATAAAGAAACAAAAACAAAAACTACAGACGAACTGGGAAACTCCTCCTTTTTTAAAGTCGGTTAAAAAGTATTTTTGACGTAGAATCACATGTGGCTTTATCAAAGCATGAATTCAAGTTTAAGGTGACGAAAATTTCGAACAAACGTTATTTCGGAGAAAAAAGTTTCGACTTTGTGATAGGTTACCTTCGTTTTGTGTTAGAATGGAGGCACCTCAGTATTGGTCCCATTTAAATTTGAAGAAAATATACCACCTCTAAAGGTGTTTGCCATCTGCAACCTTGAGGTGTTTGCAAACTAGAAGATGAATCGGCCGTTTCCTTACACTCCTACTGGTAGGAGCACGACGACTAATATATCCTTATGCTCCTACTGGTAGGACTAAAAGGATAAACATGTCTTCGTCCTACTCGTATTTTTGAAGTTGTTTATTTTTTTTAAATGACAGACCCAGGCATTAAAAACTTTATGGTTTGCTAGAGTAGTTACCGAAATAGCAATTAATATTAGTTCTTTTACCTGTTATAACTTCGATATCCGATAAATCGGTATAAAATCATCACCGGCACCTCTAGGTGTGGCATGCGTCTACGGCTGCATGTATCGCGTGAGCGGCTAATAAATTGTCACCTGTATTTATATGTCTAATTGATATTGTAGTATTCGTATGTATGTTATCGATTCGGTTTCGCACACTTTACGTTAACCGATTTCAATAAAACTTAGCAAATAGACGTAATTCCACAAGGTTAAAATTATATCACATATAAGTAATAAGATAACACCGGATTACATGAAAGAAATTAAGGAGATATATTGTGACAATTCGATATGCATACGAAACAGTATATTGTAATTAATTAGAAATAGTCTCCTGCCTGATTTCACCCACTCCATACACAGCCTGATTTCACCCACTGCTGTGTATGGGCTTGCAGAAGTTTGGGATTTGTAGCATCTGAACCCGGGGTCGGTTTAAAGTAGCAACGAACCCCGAATGAGCCCAAATGCTAGTATTGCATAAAAGATCTATCTAAAATTTATTCGGATTCAAATGATACAAATTCAATGTCATCTCTCGAGGTGCAGCTGAACCTGGGACTGGATGCGACTCAAACATTATTATTGACAAGCAACCAGTCCCGGGGTCACACTATAGTCGCATTTGGGCCCATTCGTGTTCCGTTGCAATTTTAAACCGACCCCGGATTTAGATGCTACAAACCTGAAGTTTATGCCGTCCACCACGGACCTGTGCTAGCCGAGCACAGGACCGAGATGCAGTGAAGAGGCTTCGCGCGTCACTTGAGCGTAGTGAGGCGCCAGACGCCGACCACACTGTGATCCGGGCGCACTAATGCGAGCGTCGTCGTAGTTGTAGTTGAGAAACAGGACGCGACGCGACGCTTCGACTCTGCGCCAGTGTGAGTTGAGCTTTAGACGTTCAAAGACTAGAATGTATGTACGTACAAACAATTTACACCGATAAACACCTTTCTCCACGTTTTCGAAGTCAAATTCTTGAAATATTTGTTTTGTATTTTTTTTTACTCAATATAACATAAACTAGTTGAGATACTTTAAAAACTTATATTAGAAGCCTTAATGATTTTTTTAAAATTGTATCTATTACCAAAGATTCAAATAAAAATACCAAGATGGCGCCAAAAGTACCGGCAAAGAAACCTGCGAAGACCATGGAAAAACCAATTGAGAAATTAATATCGAAAAAACCAAAGGACAAGAAAATTAAGAAAAAAAACTATCACAACTTTTCAATTTACCTGTACAAGTTATTAAGGCAAGTTACGCAAGACAAAATGGGTATATCAAGATCGTCGATGTTAATAATGAATAATTTCGTTCACGACATGATGGAGAAGATTGCCAATGAAGCAGGAAGGCTGACGGCCTTTTCCAAAAAACACACACTGACCAGCCGCGAAGTACAGAGCGCAATAAAATTACTAATACCTGGAGAATTAGCGAAACATTCGAATATGGAGTCATTGAAAGCTATTACCATGTACCATAACAGCAGAGAAAAGCAATAAAATTTGACGTAAATATAATTATTATAAGTAAAAAGGTTGATTATTATTTAATATTTTAAAAAACATAGCCCTTTTGAGGGCTTATAATTTGTTTTCATAAGTTAAGTGGAGTTTACGTCGAACAAAGATATTAAAGCGTCTTCAAATTAACAGCGCATAGTATAAACATTCCATGCAATAATCACTTCCATCTTTTTTCGGAAAGAATTCTTTCAACTTAGAATAATAACGCATAGAAACCTAGTCCGCACACGCTAAGTGAGGCAAATTGAAGCGCGCCAAAAGGGCCTACACGAGCGGGCGGGCCTTCAGTGCTCAAGGTCAACTTGCACCGCGAACAGATCAAGAATTTAGCTAAAAATGACGAAATGTGCGGGAAATGCGTGTAAAAATACGTCAGACAAACATAAAATAGATACCAACATCACATTCCACAAGGAAGTAACGCGTTTCAACTTGTATTTTTATATAAATATTCACTAAAACCGAAAATTAACCCACTACTAAAACTAGCCTACATAAATTTGATTTTTGCCTCACTTGTGACAGTTCGTTTGATATGAAACTATCATTCTATGTGTTATTATTCTAAGTCTTTCAATGAATTCTACTTCTACCAAATTTTCATTACGTCACATTTTCTTTCCGTGACAATTCTTACGTCTAATAATTGTAACTTTTTCATTGAAAAAAAACCGGCCCTTAAAAGTTGGCCGGCTTTTTTCAATTTCCACGGAATTCCTCATTAGATTCTGACTTCTTGGTGACAATGGGACTCTGTTACGGACTCCTTTGTACATTTTGGTTTTTTTTTCTGGTTGTTACATTGACGGTGATTTGTTGATTACACGTATTGTGTCTAGAGAAAAGTTAGCATATATTTGCAGAAAATAATTTGTAATTTTTGATAGCCGAAACAAAACCCGGAACGGAATCCCTTTGAAACAAAAAAAAATATTTTCAATATCAGTGCACAATTGATGGAGAAATTGGTGAATACACGGACATGTCTATAAAATACGAGGATTTCTTTCGATTTTCATGGGGTCCGCTCATCAAATTCTGACTTGGTGACAATGGGACCACATGAGAGTGCACCTTTTCAAATAAAAAAAGAATTTTCAAAATCGGTCCACAATTGACAGGGATATCTGAAAATCTCCTTTATTTTTAAAGTCGTTTAAAAAAATCAGCACACATTTGCAAAGCAATTTAATGACGCGTGGAAACTACAGCACAAGCCTCCCATTGTGAGAGATCTGTGCCCAGCGGTGGAACTATATATAGGCTAATTATTATTGTAACGAATGAACCTGTGCCGTTGGTGATTGCTTTAAAATGTGTGCCATTTATAGACAATCTAAATAATTAGCCAATAATCTTTAATTTTTTTACTTAATACAACATCAACTAGTTGAGATAATTGAAAATCCTATAACGGTAGCGTCTTTAAAACTTGTAACAAAATATTCAAACAGAAAAATCTAAAAATGGCGCCGAAAGTACCTTCAAAGAAACCTGTGAAAACAGTGGAGAAACCAATTGAAAAAATAATAGCGAAGAAATCTAAAGACAAGAAGAAGAAAAAAAACTATCACAACTTTTCAATTTACATATACAAAATATTAAAGCAGACATCGGAAAACAAAATGGGTATATCAAGATCTTCGATGATGATTATGAATAATTTCGTTTATGATATGATGGAGAAGATTGCCAATGAAGCGGGGAGGTTGGCCGCCTTCTCCAAGAAACACACGCTCACCAGCCGAGAAGTACAAACAGCAATAAAATTACTCATACCGGGAGAATTAGCCAAACACGCGAACATAGAGGCTTTGAAAGCTATTACTATGTACCATAACAGCAGAGACAAACAATAAGTACTAACTTCAAAATAATTATTGTAAATAAAAAGATTGATTACCATATTATTATATTGTTAAAACATAGCCCTTTTCAGGGCTCATAATATGTTTCCTTAAGTTGACTAGAGTTTACGTCGTATATAGGGGTGCGGTTCATTCGATATAACGTATTATGACATATTGAGCGCCCGATAGTGACTGACGTAGAGGTGAGTAAATAACGCTACGATGAAAAAATCAGAGTGATCAGCAGTCAAATAGTACCGCTGTGAATTTATGAAGGAACGACGTTTCTAAAATCACATAGGTTTGTAGGTAAAATCACATAGTTTTTTATAGTCACATAACTCCTCATCGAGTATATAACCAGAAATATTTAGAAACTATTCTGCCAAATGATTACCGCGCTCAGATTAAGCGAATTCGAAACAATTGACGGGTGTTGTCAATTGTTTCACTTTAAATCTACCAGTTTAACTTGAGCTTTGCTATAATGGACAAAAATTAAAAAAATATGTGATGCCGTTTGTTTTCAAATTAGATGTTTTCCTAGAGATATTATCTTTATTACAATAAATACAGAATATTTTTGGAATATACGGAGACGTACACATAGGTCAGTTGTTGGCGCTGTACTGTTTCAGTTTTCTAATTTGTGATTTCAGCGCAAACGGGAGTTGTCATTCGAAAGTGATATAAGGCCCATTTGCGTGATGAGTTGCCAGGGATGGATCGCCCTCATTTCGTTTCTATTTCTGGTTATATACTCGATGGGTGTCCTCATCCAATTTCGTGATAAAACATAATTCTGTAATAAAATACATTTCTTAGGTGGAGGAAACGGTCGCGCACATCCTTTTACAGTACTACGGCGTGGCCAACTACAAGGCGAAGTACCTTAGACGAAGTCTTCAGCAAACTCAAGAGGCTGCTGACATTCCTGGAGGAGCTTGGGTGGCACGAGTAAGGACCCAACCACCACTCGCAAAATAAGCGCCTGGATGTCTAATTGCTGACACCAGACCGTCACACCATACTATAGGTACCATTCCCCTGAGAAGAATGAGCAAGAAGCTCTTGGGGATCTTCTTTGTAAATATATATTTGTATTAAAATTTTTATTGAATCGATATTCAATTATTTTTTATATGAAATTACTCCACTAGTTTGTTATATTTATTAATACAAAGATCGAACACATAGAATCACCGACGTCTTCTAGCAAACCGTGTCAGGCGCTATGCCAACTAAGATACCGAACGAACCAGCTGACCTCACGAATTTTTGTTTGTATTTGGTGTTTTCAACAACTTTTTAGCCGTAGCGCCATCTATGAGAAATCCTAAGCATTTCGTCACCCAGTTAGATACCTTTACAGCTACCAACCCGGGCTAGATATTTTTGATGTCGCTATTCATTGTATTTAAATTTTTATTTAATTGATACTCAATTATTTTTAATGTGAAATTAATATTATAATTGTACATCGAGTTAAATAAGAGACGAAATGTCATTTAATTTCTTTGAAAACTATTCTGCCATATCATTACAGTGAGAATTGCGCTCCGAATTCGAAACCCGAATTGACGGGTGTCATCAATTATTTCACTTCAAATCGACCAATTAACTTGAGCTTTGCTATGATGGACGAAAAATTACATATTTAATTACCGATGAAATTTGATTCCGTTTGTTTTGTAATTAGATGTTTTTTCTGTTTTTCCCCACACCACCGAATGGAACACCACGCTATTATTACAGATATTATCTTTATTACAATAAATAGAGAATATTTTTGGAATATACGGAGACGTACTCACAGGTCAGTTGTTGGCGCTGTACTAGTTGCTATAGCTTTCTAATTTGTAATTTCAGTGCAAACGCGAGTTGATATTTATAAGTGATGTATCACTTATGAGTTACCAGAAATGTATGGCCCTTATTTCGTCTCTATTTCTGGTTATAAACTCGATGTAACAACAGAAAAAATTATGTCGATCCGGCAGGATTCTAATTCGATCGATTCGATGGGCTTAGTTGTATAGCGTCTGACACGGTATGCTAGAAGACGTTGGTTCGAATCCGGCCGGATCGAAAGAATTTTTTCCGGGTGTTCGATCTTTGTACTAATAATTATACATTTGTATCTGCACATTCATCTTTAACAATATTTATTTCAAACATCTTAAATCCAGACTCCGAAACCTAATCCTTTAGAACTCGTACTTCGTATAAGGTAGAAGTTGTTTTAATATTTATAACCTACTTAAAAAAAAAAGGAGAGCGTTCTCAATTCTATTGTTTTTTTTGCATGTATGTTATGCGATAACGCGATTTGTGAACCAATTTTGATGATTCTTTTTTGGTTGGAAAGCGGGTATTTCAGTGTTGATCCCATTTAAATTTGAAGAAAACATATCAACTCTAAGGGTGACAAACTAGGGGATGAATCCAGTTTCGCCCACGATTCCACGAACTTTTGAGGTCAGGATTTTTATAAAAAAGTTTATTAAACAGAAACTATGTTCGCTAACAAGTGTAATTGCTAAATTATTCACTTAGGCGCTTTAACTATTCTGAAAACTAAATGATATTCTATAAGATAAAATACCATTTAGTTGTAATTTAAAAGATTATATAATAATACTTAAAACAATAATTCATTATGCTAGCTTAGCGTTTTATATAATATCTGTTATACTGAAGGTAAATAACATGTGAACTGACTCAAACCCAAACAATGTTATTCCAATGATCATGATCACGCAAACCCTTAACATCGCATTCAAATTTAGCAAGGTATCTACTCAGAAAAATAGTTTTAGTTGTTTTTGTGACAGTCAGGTTGGCTTGTCGCCTTTGGCATCTGGCAAGGAGTGTACATTCAAGAATTGCTACCAATTTGCTACTTTGGTACCTTTTCTAAATAATTGCTACCTTTGATATATTCTGAAAAATTAAAAAAAATAATTGACCAGCGATTCTGATAACAGGCTGGTTAGTCGCCACTTTGTTCACCATGAAGGGAGCAGATTTTCCAGAAGTATGTATTACCAATAATTGCCACCTATTTGCTACTTTCACGAATTAAAGGTGTACGCTTCTTATGTACATAGTTAAAAAAATATAACAGATTGAAAATTTTACGAAGAAGTGCCTGATTAAATTAAAAAAGCAAATTTTTTTTAGTGTTTTATTGCTATAATATAAAGGGCAGGCACTTGGTGTCGCTGGTGCCATCGACACACACATATACAACATATTATACCCAAACTCAAGAGATAAATAAATGTGGGCCATACAAATATTTCTTCCGACCCGGGAATCGAACCCGGAACCTCTGCGTGGTAGTCCAGCATGGTAACCATTCGGCCACAGAGGCAATTAAACTTCATGTCGCTGTTGCGTCGCGCATGTCACGCTCTGTCGTACTAGCCTACAGGTGCAATCACTATCGTGGCGCCCTCTAGTGGGCACGCGATCAAAATGGACTACTTACAATATTTGCAATATTGTGCGTGAACAGGAACCTTCTAATTTCAGGTTCTGATGCCAGTACAATCAGTGTACAGGGTGGTCACAGACTATTGTCACTGACTTCATACGGTTCTCAAGAGGTTAATGCCTCGAGTGGGCCGCCCCGGGTGCACGTACACTCCCTACTTTCCAGATAGGTACCGGAGCTGTAGGAACGCTCAACTTCCCGTTGCGTATTGCACAACCGCTAAGCCACCGCTAAGCCGTTGATTCTAAAATCCACTACCACATCTCTTTTTTCACTATTACTGCATGGACATACAACTTTTTTCGACAGAACTAATGCTAATGTCGATAAGTCTGAGATGGTCTGGATACGCCCTAAACCTCAAAAACATTATTAGACTAAAGTAAGACATAAAATGGAAGCATTCTTTATTTACATGCAATAAACA